AAAGGAGGTTTGAGGAATACGAAAGCACACTGAAGCGCTGTCACTTTCTTGTTACCCAGTTGATTCAATATAGACATAATACACAAGCAGCATTTAATTGATAAAGGGCATATTTGTAAGGGAATGCCAATGGCTACAAATTATCTGAACTTTCTGTTGAGATATACCGTAGTAAAGGCGATAAAAAGTGAACAATTTTTGTTTGCTTTTCACCGCAGCTGCAGAAGATCCATATTCCATTGCATTTTAAGGATGTCAACAGGATGAAGCCACATCGCCAAACGCTTCTATCTCTCAACCAACTGCATCTTCATCTCCGGTGTTTCGAATACAAGAACGTCCAGACGTGAAGTTCCTTCCCGTCAATGAACCTCTTTATCCTTCCCAAGATTGCGATTTTGATGTTAGTCAGCTACTTGGCAGCATTCACTCGGCCTCCTTCAAAGGTATCACATAGATTTCCAAGGAAATTTCATTCCATGAAGTAATTGAATTTACAGAGCAAGCTGATGTATTATTACAAAGCGGGAATCTTTCTCTTGTCACTCTGGGTGACGTTGTTGCAAATCACGACTGTAATGCAGAATATCAGGTTTGTGATCAGCAAACTTTAAGCAAGAAAAAATTTAATATAAAAAAATTCAGGAATTATTTTCAAACAAACTGAAGGAGAGTCGAATAGACCTGGCAGAAAGCAAGGCCCTTCAGGTTGCTGCTTCACACTTGCCACCATCGACAGACCCGTTAGTCCGTCAGCTGACAACCTTGGTCCAGAATCAAACAAACATCATTGCAGGACTAAGCTTTGTGGTACGTTTTTCGTGAGATTGAGACGTGTGTTTACCCTTTTTACATCTTGCCATAGTTGATCTCTATTATACTGGACTACGAGCTTGGTGGCGCGCCGACGAGGCTACTGATGAGGCTGTTGATAACACTTATCCTTACGTGGGCAAAAGTCCTCACGCACCGCAACTCATAAGCGTCGGCGGCTGCGTCGCCTGTAAAGAGTATGTCAGCATGCTGAGTAACGGTATGAGCAAAGAAGTCTAGATTAAATGAAATGAAACTGCATACTGGGAATCTCAAAATTTTAAATGAATCATTCTCAAAAATCTAACTTAAAACTAAGAAAGATGTTGGCGAACTTCAAACACCCAGGTGTAGCCGAATATGCAAGCTGTTGAACTATTGACTAGAAATAGATATTAATCATGATTAACTAAAAATTGTTAGATATTACTAAATATTTGCTAGTGCGAAGGATAAGAGAAATATGGAAATGAAGACAGAAGCGGCCAAAGAGCGCCACTGCAT